AGGCATGCCCAACAATTAAGTCAATTATTAAGTGAGAATTGACTAGAGGGCTTCCCTGGTGCTCCAGGGGTTAAAGAATCTGCCTTGCAATGCTGGGGACGTGAGTTCGATCCCTGCTTAGGGAAGATCCCACAGGCCTCAGAGCAACTAAGCCTGTGCGTCACAATAACTGGAGCCTGAACACCTAGAGCCCATGTTCTACAAGAGAAGCCACTGCAATGAGAAGCCTGGACACCGAAGCTAGAAAGTAGCCCCTGTTTACAGCAACTAGAGAAAGCTTACACACAGCAATGAAGATCCAGTGCATCCAAAAATTTACTAATTATTTTTAAAAAAAAGAAAATTGACTAGAGGCTAAATCAGAGCATTGAGTCTAAAAAGGAAGGATGGGTTTAAAAAACATTTAAAAGGTGTATAGGAGATGCAGGAGGAATGGAATCTAAGACTAATGGAGCACATGGAAGCCCATTCACCCCGGTGGGAAGCTCAAGATGAGCAGGTTTGAGGACGAAAATAAGTTCTAACTCAGGTCCACCTGAAACCTGTAGCCCTATAACAGGATCTGCCTGTGGGTGCACGATAAAAGCCACACCCCCTTAGATGAACCCTCTCTTCTGCCTTTCAGATCTGCTTCCTTGACCCTGGGGAGCCTGATTTGGAAATCTGATGTGTCCCGACCCCCCGCTCTGGCTAACTACTCCCCTGATGGGTTCAGGCTGATCTTTGCTCTTTCTTTTTTGAGGTTTAGTGTGTTTATTATTTATTTTGATCTTTGCTTTCTGAGGTCTCCTACTGGGGCGAGAGGCTTCTGTCCTTTCGCTCCCAGTTTACAGTCCAAAGCACTTCCTGCCAACCTCACACTGGTGCTGCCTCCTGACTGCTCGCAGAGCCCATTTGGGGCCAAAGTCTCTTCTCTTGGATGGAGGGATGGAAGTTTCCCTCTAAAACCCAGGCTGGCCTCAGCAACCTGAGTCCCGGTCCAGCTTTCAATCCTACAGCTTCTTCTCGTCCATACAGGGCACTGACGCCCAAGCAATGCATTCAATGACAGGCTCTTATTCTTTAGTCAGCTCAGAGGCCTACCTGCTGATGTTCCTTGCAGATCAACAGAGCTCACAAGTAACTGAGCTGTGGCTAAAGAAGTTATTTACAACCAAAAATAATACCTGCCCTGCCTGGACCCAGGCCCCAACAAAGCTGCATGCCTACTGTGCCCCTCTTAGGAAAGTTCCTTCTTGAACCCAGAGCACTCCAGGCTTTCTCATTCATCTCTGAAAGTAATATCAGGACATGGAAAACTTTGGCTTCGGGGAGGGTGGCAAGTGCGTAAAGGGATCACCGATGGTTTTGTGCCCAGAGAGTGAAGCAATATGGCAGTACACCCAGGTAGGGGAAGCCTCTGCTCAGGTGCAGTGTCTCACCATCATTCCTTCCAAACCAGAATCTCTAGCCAAACAGGTGTGCCAGGCTTCAGGTGGCCCTCTGTTAAAGCTCACTGCCTTATGTGATAAGGTGTGACAGGTGGTGCCAGAACTGTACCAAGTCTTTTTTTAAAATGTATTTATTATTTTATTATTTATGTTTTGTTGCACTGGGTCTTTGTTGCTGCAAGCAGGCTTTCTTTAGTGGTGGTGAGTGGGGGCTGCTCTCTAGTTGTGGTGCTCAGACTTCCTGCAGAGCCTTCTCTTGTTGTGGAGCACAGGCTCTAGGCTCACAGGCTTCAGCAGTTGTGGCACATGGGCTTAGTTGTTCTGTAGGATGTGGAATCTTCCTGGACCAGGGATCAAACCCATGGCAGGCAGATTCTTGTCCACTGCACCATCAAGGAAGTCCAGGATCATACAAAGTCTTGATTCTCAAATATCCTTGGATTTCTTTTCTGACCTACACTCCTCACATGAAGACGAAGCCATCCTGGGGATGCTGGTGGATACTGTCACCTTCTTGGGGTTCCTCAGCATCTGCTCCAGCCAAGCTCCAGCCGCTTCTTGTTAGTACCTTCTTCCATGAGTTTCTCAGCTGCCCTATTTCCATCCTTAGCTCCTAGCTGTCCTCTGAATTTGAAAGACAAGGATCAGAGCCCTTTAAATACAAAGTCACTCATCCAGTACCCACCATCCAAGGTGACTCAGTTGGCTACTCAGTTACCTATGTGGTCAGACTTCCTACCAGCAACGGGACTATTCAGACTAATTGCTGTTACCAAATTCACATACAACTCAAATTCACACAGGACACACCATGCTTCTCAGCTTGGACCTCTTCATTCCATCCCATTTGTGCCATTTCTTTTACTCCTGGGCTCCTGACATGCTGGGGCAACTACAGGCCAGCCACGCTCTCCCAGACACCCAGGGCAAGAGAGGATCAGGCCCTCCTCCAGTGTGGCACCTCCCCATCTGTGCCACTACCCATCAGTCCAAGTGATGGGTCATCAATTCAGAGTGTTCTGACTTCTCTGTGAATCTCATTTATCATGAAGTGTCTCCTGTTCTCTCTGACCCACTGAGATGCTGCCTCAACCCTGTATCCCCATGGCCAGAACAGATAACCTGTAACGTGAGAGCGACTGGACTCCCATGAGGCCGTGGCCAGATGAAGTCCCTAGAGTACAGGCAAAGGTTCAGGCCAGGGGAACAGATATGGGAAACCACTTCTTACTTGTGGAATATGCTTGAAGAGGTTCAAGCATTCCATCAGGTGAAACCCATTCCATCTATGGAAGGATATGGGTGGGGGAAGAGAGGTACCGGATCAGGGTATCTGTGTCTCCTGTTATCCAGGCCACCATGTTCCAGAAAAGGCTTCTCCCCGCCTCACCATGGTCACACTGGTACCACAGCTTTTAAAAAATTTTTTTATCTTTGGCTGCAAGGCTCTTTGTTGCTGCATACAGACTTTCTCTAGTTGTGGCGAGCAGGTGACTTTGATTTCACTTGCTGACTTTGATCTCACCTGCACTCTGATGCAGACTCTTCACTGTGGGATTGACTCTTGCTCTCAAACTCATCCCAGGGATTAACTGTTTTGATAGTTCCTTGCTTTGGAAGGCCACTTTGCCTGTGACTTGCCTAGGGGTCTGTCCCAACCTCTCAGATCCAACTTCGGCTCTTAAGACCTCTGCGTGAATCAGAACCCTGGGCCCCTCACTCTTCTGGAAGCAATGGGTGGTTGGCAGGGTGTGCTGAGTTAAAGATGCCTGTAGGGAATGTCTGGTTCCCAGGCTGATGAGAAGGCTCGTGTCGGAGCTAGAGATGAAAATTTGGGAGTCACTGCTCAGTAAAGGGGCTTACCAGGTGGCTCTAGTGGTAAAGAACCTGCCTGACAAAGCAGAAGAGACACGGGTTCAATCCCTGGGTTGGGAAGATCCCCTGAAAGAGGGCATGGCAACCCACTCCAGTATTCTTGCCTGGAGAATCCCATGAGCAGAGGGGCCTGGTGGGCTATGGTACAGGGGGTCGCAAAGAGTCAGACATGACTAAAGCGACTTAACACACGCACATGCATGCATCCTGCAGTACAGGCAGTAGTATAAGTCACGAGCGTGGATGAGCTGCTCAGGCAGAGTGAGGATAAAGGATGAAACCCCGAGGGGCCCAACAGGAAAGGGTCAAGCGGAGAGGTGTCAGCACAGATGGAGCACACACTGGAGAGGCTTTGGCAAAACTAGGAGAGAGGAGCTCCACAGAAATGGAAGAAACTTCAAAGCAATGATGCATCAACAGCGGCAAATGCAGCTGAGTCTTCGAGTGAAATAAGATCTGGACTCAACAACTGGGAAGTTAGGATGAGTGGGTTCACGGTCTGGTGGGAGCTGAAGCAGGGTGAACTGTAGGTTCTGCCTGGTGACACAGACAACTCTGGCTGCCAAAGGGGTCTCTCAGTCTCTGTTGACTGGCTACCCTCCCCATCTTCTGTTTCCTTTTATGTTTCTCTTAGCTGATACAACCAGATATGCTGCAAGTCTGGATCAATACAATAGTTTGGGATCCATTTTGGCACCATAGAAACTACTGTAAGGTTTTCTGGGTTCATACACGCTGCTATCTCACAGTTAACCTCCAGGTTCTGAGTTTGCAAGCTAGTAAGCACTTTAACTGATTCAGCATAATGTAAGTGGCATTCACCGCAATGCTAGTCCCACATCGTTAACTCCACTGACAACTGGCTGGAGGGAGTAGCAGCCTCGGCCTCTCTCGCTCTCCATCTGGCCATAGACATCTCGTCCTCAAACTCGGCTATCTTCACTAATTTTTTTTTTTTTTTGGCTGCGCGGCTCGAGGGATTTTTAATTCCCGGATCAGGGCTGGAACCAGGGCCCTCGGAAGTGAAACGCGGAGTCCTAAGCAATGGATAGCCAGGGGATTTCTTTTTTTTTCTTTTTTGTCTTAAACTTCACTCATTTTTTTTGGCCCCTTCTCTCTCCCCTCAACGGCTCAATTACTGAATAAAACATTTACTCCATACATTCATATCACGTTTTCACGTTAATTTACAAAGCACCTTACCCCATCGGCAGCTCACAACACACTGTAAGAATTACTAGGCTGGAAAGGCAGTGGCGAGGCGCGCGCACCCCCTGCTGGAGCCCCGGCCTACTGTAGCCTGCCTGCCCTTCCCGCCCGTCAGGAGCGCGAGAGGCAGCGGAGACGCTCGTGCCCGCGCAAGGCTTCCTGGGAAATGTCTGGGGTGTAAGTGTCAGAACTACAAATTCCGGTACGCCCCGCGCTGCAGCCGCGGAGAGGGTGCTGTCTGGTGCTTCGAAATCTTTTGTCAGTGTCGTTAGGAATGCCTCATAAGCCTGACTCAGTATTCACAGGAGAACATGATAGCTCTTCCGCCGGGTGTGCACGAACTGACTTGGCTTCCGCGGCTTCCTCGAGCTCGCTCGGTGTGGCGAATCTGCCTTTGCGGCACGGTGGTTGGGCGCGCAAGGCCCGACGGGAAGCTTGTGGAATCTGCTGTGAGAAGAAGAACGCCAGGTTTCCTGGGCCACAGTCATGGCGGCGACCGCCCCCAGTGCTGGGGGTTCCGCACCTGAGGCGGCGGCTTCCGCCGAAGCTCCGCTGCAGTACAGCCTTCTTCTGCAGTACTTGGTGGGCGACAAGCGTCAGCCCCGGCTCCTGGAGCCTGGGAGCCTGGGCGGGATCCCGAGTCCAGCCAAGAGTGAGGAGCAGAAGATGATCGAGAGGGCGATGGAAAGCTGCGCCTTCAAAGCTGCGCTGGCCTGCGTGGGAGGTGAGGCGGGGCCGGGGGACCCTTGGGAGGCTGAGCGCTTGGGCGGCAGCTGGGTCCACTGCTCAGAAGACCACGCACCTAGGAGGGGAGGGGGCCCTGGGCCGCGACCTTGACCCACCCCCTCCTGGTTCAGTGAACTTGAGCAGCGCCTCCCTAGACCCCGAGGTTGGCTTTCGCCTCTGGAAATTCGATCAGAGACTCGGTCCTGGGTCGAGACCTGGGGTTTATAAAATGGTTTACTTCATTCATTCATTCATTCGTTCGTTCGTTCGTTCGCTTTAAAGTAATTACTTTTCAGAAAATTATTACTGAGCGGCTATCACGTGCCAGGCGGTGGAAAGACAGAATGAGAGACAAGAGCCTTGTTCTCATGAAGCTAATATTTTAATATATACAGAAAGAAAAGTTTTCAGAAGGAGGACAGTGCTGCAGACCTGGGGCGCAGAACTTGCAAAGGTTAGGCCTTAAGTGACTTCAGGCTAGAAAAACAGGCCAGGGAGCCCAATGTGACTGGACAGCTAGAACGAGGGGGAAAGAAGTCTGGGCTTGGCATGTTTTTGTTTTTTGTTTTTTTAATCGTTTGAGGATTTGAGAATGTAGGTGACCCTCCTGTGTGCTAAGAGGCTGACCACATTTGCAGGTGAGTTGAAGTCTCATTGAGAATGAGAGGAAATTAAGAAACGAATATAGTGAGAGTGGAAACGTGAAATTGAGCAGAAAGAAGAAAGATCTTTTTGGTTGGGAGAAGACCACAAGAGGTGAGACTGGAGCCTGTGTCTTGAAGGATTAAGAGAATGAGGGTAGATAAAGAGACATGGCATTTCAGGTTGGGGTGGAGTGGTGCAGGTTGAGCTTTTTGCATGTAGGCATTAGGGCAGTCATTGATGGGTTTTTAGAGTTACCAAGAGCTTGATGACTCATGGTGGAGTGTGGCAAAGGGAAGGAAAGTCAGTAGACAGACAGACCATATAGGGAATTTGCTAGACTGAAGCTCAGTGAGACATGGACTGGATCTTTGTTCATCATTGTGCCCGACCCTAGATCTCTTACATGTCTGTTGAAATAATGCTTTGTAGTCTTTGTAGTGCTCCAGGGTGGAAGTGATGAGGGCCCTAGGCTAGGATGATAATTGTGGACCTAGCCTCACAGGAGGAAGCAAAGAAATAGCCATAAGTGCCCCTGAAGTTTGGCGCGGGAATGACTGGAGAACAGGAACCGTAAGCAGGGAGGTCTGGAGGGGAGGTGCCCATGATTTCGTTGAACACATACTGACCTTGAGGTGGCGAAAGGACATCCATGTGGAAATGTCCAGCAGGCTCAGGAAGGTCAGCTGTGGACCACAGCGTGGCATTTGCCATTTGGGAACTTTGTGACCTTAGGGAAGTTAGTTTACCTCTCTGAGCCTCAGTTTCTTCAACTACAGAAAGGAAAGGAAAATAGTATCTACCTCACAGGATTACTGCAAGGAATAAGTAAGGCTGGGACAATAAAGTGTAATTGGTATATGGTATTTACCGAATGACTTTTATGAATGTCACCATTGTCAAGGGAGTGATTTGCAAAGTTGATACCTGAACTTGAGGGTGACTGGTTTATGTGTGAGAGTGTAGAGAGAGAAAGAGGGTTAAAGATGAAATCTTGAAGAATGCTAGAAAATGAAAGGAGGAAGAAATACAAAAAGTCAGAGAAGAAGCTGCCTACTAGATCGATCTTGGATTTTGTAATGTGGAAACCAGGCCAGTGGAGAGTTTCTGAGGCAAGAAGGGGACGGGGTATCCTCTTCACTGGTGGCCATCCAAAAGGTGCCATTTGAGTATGACCCTATTACAGTAACCTGAAAAACATGCCAACGAAATCTTCGTCTCTGTTCATTTTTAGGATTTGTCTTGGGAGGTGCATTTGGGGTGTTCACTGCTGGCATTGATACCAATGTGGGCTTTGACCCTAAGGATCCTTACCGTACACCGACGGCCAGAGAAGTTCTTAAAGACATGGGCCAGAGAGGAATGTCCTATGCCAAAAATTTTGCCATTGTGGGCGCCATGTTTTCTTGCACTGAATGTTTAGTGGAATCTGTAAGTGTCCCTGCCTTCTGAGAAAGCCTTGCCTGTTTCCATCCTGTGAGTTCTCAAGAGAAATACTCAATGCTACTAGAAAGCAGGTCAGAATTGTCCAGTACTTGCTAGATTCAGTTTCCATTAAATAGTCCCTAATGTAAACTTCTTGTGAATTTATGATTTGGGCTTGCCTTATTTATTTTTTTTTTTACAGGCCAGAAGTTGGTTAATTATTTTTTTATTATTGCTTTTGGCTGCATCTCGCGGCTTGTAGGATCTTAGTTTCCCAACCAGGGGTGGAACCCGGGCCCCTTGCAGTGGAAGCAAACATGGGGTCCTAATGATTGGATCACCAGAGAATTCCTGGTTATTAAACAAGAGACTTGTTGGGGAACCTGAGAAGAGGTTCTGATTACTTCTCAAATGTGACACTTGGCTCAGTGCTTTGGTACCATGTGCAGGAAGCATTTGTGAACACATTCAAATTTTAGGAATTATACTTTTGAAAGAAAACAAGATAGGTTTCCTTTGGGGAGGGACTAAATTAGCCAGCTAGAAACCCTGTCTTTTTTTCCTTAGTTTTCTTGTTTGGCTTGTTTCTTTGGCTCTGAACTGCTCTTCTCCACCCACAGTACCGGGGAAAATCAGATTGGAAGAACAGTGTCATTAGTGGCTGCATCACTGGAGGAGCCATTGGTTTCAGAGGTTAGTAAACAATTCTCACATGCTTTTCTTTGTGGCCTTGGACAACATGCTGAAGTTGACATTTCCAAACACATGAGTGTTCCAAGGACAGCTCAAGGCATATGTGGAACTTGATATTCTCCTCTCCTGACAAGTAAATCACATTTTCTGTGTTAACTCAATTTTGGAAACTTCTAGTATCTAGATTAGGGTTTCTGATCCTTGGCATTGTTGACGTTCTGGACCAGAGGAGTGTCTGCTGGGCGAAGAGGAATGCTGTTCCTGGCCTCTCCCCACTCGGTGCCAGTAGCACCCCTAGTGGTGACAAGCAGAAGTGTTTCCAGTGTCCCCTGGGGGACAAATAGCCCCAGGTCAAACCCACGGAGAACTATTTCTATCTTAGAATAAAGAACGGTCCCCATATTGAACAAATGGGAAGAACTTCATAATAATAAGTAATCTCTGGACTGTGTTGCTATGCAGGATAGTACAGAAGCATAGCTGGACCCCATTCAGCCGTGGGAAACCCATTTGCCCAAACAGCAAGCTCTGCTTAACTTTCAGCTCTATGCATTTCAGACAGACATCTTTCTTCATACTGTGCAGTCATTTTAATTCTATGTATAGTTCTCACAGTAATGTTTTTGCAGTTTAGGGTTCTTAGATTTCCACTCCTGAAAGCCAAATATAGGTATCCTAGAAATGTTGGATTATCCACTGTAAGCAACCAAGAAGAAAACTGGTTCCCTGCCACTTCTCCCTGTTGGTGTATCTATCAAGAGTGTGCGGCGGGGCGTCAGTGACTTAACTTCCCTAACAGTGTCTATTACTGGGCCACTCTCCATCTGCTGTGCCCAGACTTACCCAAAGCAAAAAGGCTGTTTTCTCATTTTCTGAGAGACAGGATGCTTTGCTGTCATTAAAACCTGACTCTCCTCCTCACACAGCCATTTGTGATTTATGGAGTAACTTCTCCTTTGGTCTTCCCATCTCTCAGCTTTGTCAGGGCCTTTGAGAGGCTCAGCTCCCTCTGGGATTTCTTTGATCACCTTCCCAGGAATTTATTCCATAAACAAATCAGAGTAACAGGCCATATGCTTTCACTTGATTCCAAGGGCTGGTTCTGTTAACCAGTTTCCTGCCTGTGAGGAGCTATTTTCATGAGACTAGAAATAGCAGTTCTTTGGAATGAGAAAAGTTAAACGAACATACAGTTAGATAAAAGCACACTGGATCAGCTCGTGTGCACAGCCTCACTGAAGCCTTCCAGCTCTCTGCTATGTTGAATGATTGAGAACTTGTTCGCCAGCTTCTTTACGTCTCTAAGTACCCGAACTTTTCCTGAGTGCGGCTTGACTCAGCGTCTTTCACCACAGGTAATGTCATTTGTGTTTGCTTTACAGCTGGCTTGAAGGCTGGGGTCATCGGCTGTGGAGGTTTTGCTGCTTTCTCTGCTGCGATTGACTATTACCTACGGTGAGAACACTGGTGTCCGGCAAGGACAATGGCAGCCCAGGATCAAGGCTGCTCTGTGTAGGGCGGTTTCTGCACCACTCCAGGGCACTTGCTTCAGAGACTGAAGACATTTGTTTTCTCTCACATAGTTGGTGTCGTGAGGGATCCGCCTGGCTGCAATCAGCCACCTCTGAGCAGCCATGCTCTCTGCACCTGGACTCGAGCCAGGCTGTGCGGGGTGGAGTGCCATGCCAGACTCTCTGTTTTGGGCAGTCAAAGAGTCAGTGTGTTGACCTGTAGGAACTGAGTTCCACAAAGGTTCAGTCCACAGGCTCTGGTGCGGTGGGGATGGAGGGGACTTTACACACACCTGGAAGCTCTTCTACCTTGTATGTCAACGCGGTCATCCATCTCATACCTCAGGGCAGGGCAGAGTGGAATCATGCTGTCTGACCAGTTCTGTCGTTTTGTTTAGTGTTCTGCTCATTTTGTTTAATGTTCTGCTATCCTTGTTTTATATATATATATATACACACACACACATATGTGTGTGTGTGTGTGTGTGTGTATGTATATATGTGTGTTTATATTACAGTTTAAAAGTTTGGCTTATTTTTATTTTCAAATTCCACAACTCCCCAAAATAGTACCAGGTGGCCCAAAGATTGAACATCCAAAGGGAAAGCATGAGCCAGCTCCTGAGAAGTCTGGGAATGCTCAACTCCCAGGGTCTGCAGAGCAGTGTTATCCTCACTGAGATTGCTGCAGTGGCCCAGAAACCTGGCCTAACCGTGTCCTAGGATGCAGTGACATTCCACGCATAACCCTGCTGGCCTCTTCTGAGAAACCGTCGGGCTGGCTGGTGGGAATGCCTGCGGTCTGAACCATACATGGGTGTTCTGCTGTGACCATCGGCCCAGGCCCGCCTCAGGGACACAGAGTGTGAGGGTTGTGTTGCTGTGGTCCTCCTGATGACCAGGTCCCAGCAGCCACTGGTTACAACCAGACCGTGTTCAGGAGCTGCTCACCACCACCCTGTTCTTCTGATGTCAGGGGTTTGTTCCTTAAACATTAGTGTTTTTGACTTGACCTGGTAGCCTTTCTCTGACAGTAGCAGCTCAGCCTAATTGTGTGCTATACACATAAAAACCCTTTTACAATCGGGATCTGCTGCAGATGCTATGTTACTCTGGTGCCTTGGTGGTGGGATGAAGATGAACTTAGGACAAGCAGGTAGCATGGTGGGGGCCTGTAATTCCAGCCACCGGTAGTGTCTCCTTTATTCCACTAGAGTCATTCCTTTGCCTTTTTTGGCTGTCTCCCCCACTGTGGGCCGTCTTCTAAAGCTTGCTCACCCTTAACCAGAATTCAGACTCAGCTGAACCATCCAGACATCGTGTGTGTGTGTGTGTGTGTACATGAGTGATGATGTCAAGTCCAGCTGGTGTGTGTGTGTGTGTGTGTGTGTATACATGAGTGACGATGTCAAACCCAGTTGGTAACACCTTCCTCTGGCCTTGTCTGCTGTTGCCTTTGGAATGACCATGGGCTAGTGCACAAGGCTCATGCCCGTCTCGGGGGGAGTTCTATAGAATGCCTGTCCCAGTCTCGGTCAAGAGGCGTCACTGCTGGTAGGCTGCCTGGAGAATCCTCACAGGTCTGAGAACAGATGTTGGAGTGGGTCCTCCACTGTCCCTCAACAAGTCACCTGTAAGCAGTTAGAGCAAGCGCAGACACTCTTACCTGCCACCTGTCAACAGTGCCAGAAACCTGGCATCTACCATCCAGTCTAGCGTCTACCATCAAGTCTAGTGCATGGGGTCAAACGACCGCGTACAAGCACTGCTCCCCTCATGACTGCCTTGGGAATGACGAGTCCTGGGCTGTCAGTAGCCATCAGTTCAATAAGCCAAGCATTGTCCACACTGACTATTCAGTCAGGAGAGGAGATGAATAGTTTCCTGTTTTAGATGGCTAAGGAGGCAGTATGAGCTCATAAACCAAACACCAATTTTCAGAGACATCTGTTCCTGATCTCCAGAATAAACACAGTGTCCAATGGCTGGGGCTGGTGGGAGCCGACATTAACCCCGCTAGCTCTCCTGAGGGAGGCTGGGCCCTCTAGGGGATCCAGCATCTTCAACACAGAGATTAGGCCAGCAGGCTGCCCCAAAGACCTGCAACTTCCAAGGAAATTGTAAAGAGATGTTTGCATAAAATAAACCTCCACTTGAATAGACAACTTCCTGCCATCTCTGATGCATATTGATGGCCAGGTCTCCGGTGGGGCACTTGTATTTCATGAAAAGAACTGGCTGGTGACAGCTGTGGGCATTTGTGAAAGAACAAGGAGAGAGCGTGGGCTCACCTCCCAAACTGCCATGGTCCCCACAGGCCGAAGGGGTGCACAAAGGGGAGTTCACTGGTAAGAAGATTCTTGGAAACACATCTGGATGCAGCTGGAAGAGTTAACTATCTAGATTGGTGGTCTTCCCTGGACTCCTGAGAACACAAACGTCCACACCACAGGGCTGAGTTGTGTGCAAATGTCAGGGCTTTGCAGGTTTTTTTTTTTTATTAACATTTTCCTCTCATGTGGCTTACATCAATTTATAATAATCTACATAAGTTGAAACAGAACATAGACCAAAGAAAAATATATCCTTACCAACTTATGAAAGTCAAATATTAATGAAGGGTCCCATCATACCTGTAACAGCACAACACCGGCAGCCCGCAGCCATTGCCAGCAAGGACAGGTGTGTGGATTCCTGTAGCCTGTCTGTGGGCTCCTGTTGGCACAGCCTGCCCTGCTGGGCACAGTGGCTGGGGTTCTGCACAGTCCCTGTCTCTCAGGAGAACCCACAGGCTGTTCCCTCAGCGCAGCTTAGTCCAGGTCTGGTACCCACCCCTCCCGATTCTGGGGGTCGAGTTGATAAATATTCTGAGCCTTTTCCATTTCTCAGCCCTTCCAGCCTTCCTCCCATTCTCATTACCTAAGAGGTTGGGGGCTGCAGTAGCTACCTGATGCTGAGAGGCACATGTCCCTGGTTTGGGGAAGGCGGGAGGCACCCAATAGGGGCTGTAAATAGTTCTAGGTGGGGCTCCAATTCATTCCAGTTAGTGGCCGCGGAAGCAAGAACCTTCCAGGCCACCTGCCAGCTCCCAAGTGCCGAGCAGGCTCCAGGGATGGTCAGACACGGGGGATGTTCAGACTCCAGCATTCTTTCTCCACCTGTGGCCCAAGCCCCTTATCTTAGGGAGTGGGGCTCTTCAGCTGCTTAGCAGGCAGCCAGGGCGTCAGTTCCTCTCTCCTCTGGGGCATCTATCCTCTGATGTGCACAGAATGTGTACCGTTCTGCTCACGCCCAGGCCACAGGTGTAAACGAGACAAGAAGGGGCCCTTCCTCTCACTGAGCCGGTGCTAAGGCTTCAGGGGCCCCAGATCCTTCTTTAAAACCGCCCTGAGCTCAAGCTAGGGGGAGCTCTTCTCTCCAACCCCCAGGGCTTGGAATCTAGTCTCTGACACACAGGAGAGCCAAGGAACCGTGGACTGTAGCTCCAGCCCCTGCCGCCAGGAGTGTCTGAACTGCTGGAGGCCGGCAGTGCTGCTCAGGAGAGAAGAAACTGCACTTTGGGGGCACTTCTCACTCCTTCCCAGTACTGAGCAGCGGCCCTCAACGCGGGGATCATACCCTGCGGATGAGTCAAGCATCCACCACCAGGGTCCCCTGCAAAACCCAGTCCCAAGAGAGGCAGGTACCTGGCACAACCCCAACTCCTGGAGTTCCCCCGAGTTCACCCACAAGGCTGCGTTCAGAAGCCGGGTGGGGGGAGGCAGCACCATGATGGCTGGCTACTGCTGGACCACGCCTGGCTTCCCCAGGCCCTGGGGCGCACGTGGCCATGGGGGCTGCCCCGTGGCAGTGCTTGGCTGTGGAGAAAGTGTGTAACGTCTAAGGCAAAGGTACCATGAGGTACGGGAGGCACCAGGAAGGGCTAGCCCTCTCGGACGGAGCCTGCCTGTTTCGAGACACCTGCTTCAGCCCTCGTGGTTGCCCTCCCAGAAGCCTGGCTCCACCAGCAAAGCCACCACAACTCCTTGCTCCCAGCCCAGGATGCCCAGCGCTCCCTGGCGCTCCTCTCAACAGCCCACTCTGTCTCCTTGGCAACCTGACCCTCCCACCTCCCTGATTCTTTCCTGACCCTCTGGCTGCCTTGATAGCAGGTCTCTGGTGAGTCTCTACACTCAAAAGAAAATAGAACAGCAGGAGAAAAGAAACTGAAAAGCAGTAGAAGAAACAGTCAAAGGTGCCTCACTGGGACTGGAGACGAACAGATAAACCCCAGAAATGGAGGTTCTCAGGTGGAAAATCCCAGCAATCCACTCTCCAGCCTATGCAGAGCCGAGGATCAGTGCGAGAGTGTCTCCTTGTCCACATTTGCACAGGTGGCAAGGCAGACAGGCGTGCCTCCACAGGTGAGGGGGGCAAGGAGAGGGTTGGGGGCAGCAGCATCGGACTGGCCAGCCCCCGCCACCGCTGCCCAGGGCCGCCTCAGAACTTTCGAGGTGATGGATCAAAAACCAAAGCTGCAAATGCATGCAGGCAGGCTGGGGGAGGCGGGGAGGACAGGGTGGAGGAAGACCGAGGGGAGGCCGCCAGGAGACTGCGATCTGGGAGCAGGGCCAAGAGAGGCGAAGCTGGCAGCAGTTACAGAGCGCAGAATAAAAGCCCTTGGACCAGACTCAGGAGGAAAGAAAGTGTTGGAGGAAATGAAAGAACAAAGCAGGCTGCCTGTGTGCCCACACCGGGTCGGTCACTACCTTTTCTGCATGACAAATAGACGTAAAACAATTCCCGAACAGCACGGAGCATCAGACACGACTAGAGGAACGCAGGGCAGAGCCGGGGTGCGTGGCGGGGCCAGGGCCGGGTCGGCTGGCTTTGTACAAGGTGGCACAAAAGATACACGTCTTCCAGTTCTTGGAAATCTCTGTCCCTTGGAGTGTGGAGCGCTGGGTTTGGGAGTTCTCTATTGCAGTCCTTCAAGTCTGGGTTGGGTCCCCGGCTGGAGAGGCTGGCTCGGGGCCGCCCCCCCGACAGCCACTCCCACCTCGGGCTACACATCGGTGGAGAAGTACAGTGTGTTCCGCTTCAGTTCTGCGAAGGAGATGGGAGGGTGCTGCAGGTAGTAGAGGAGGACCTGGACCTGTGGGGAGACAGGGGAGACTGAGGCTGGGGTCCTCACCCCGGAGGGCCTCCTCCGACCCGCTGACACGCTCTCTGGACTGGGCTCCTGTGGCTCCCCGCTTCCCCTCCGGCTGGCTCCAGCCACTCCCCCATCCCTGGAAGCCCAGGTGTGGCTGCCAGTTTGCAGCAGCAGGGGGTGCTGCAGGGCAGAGGGTGGGGCGCCCGGGGCCACTTCCCCAACTTCAGTCCTGCTCCAGACCAGACCCTGCCCTGGGTCTCACCGGACTCCCAGGGAAGCTTCCTGACCAGCCACGCATGAGGGCAAGGCCCCAGATTTTCCTGACACCCCTGGGTTTGCTTCCCAAGGCCCAGGCAACTCCCAAGACTGCAACCAGTACCTGGGACACCCATCCTCTGGGCTCTTGGTCCAGATGCCTACTTTTCAGCAGGACTGTCCAGAGCCCTACTCCTTGGTGGCATCCCACAGACCTGTCAGCCCCGCTGCTCAGGATGGGAGGCGGGTGGGAGCCCACCCCTCAGGGAGGGGCTCGTCCGACCCCGGCACCTGCCGCAGGCCCGCGCAGCATGGGGGTACCTGCGCCATGACGTCGTGGGACCAGATGTCGGCGGCCGATGTGAGGTGTGCTTTGCTCTCCACTTCCGAGGGTCTCAGTAATGTGGGGCCAAACACGGTAGCCAGGTTGTGAAGGGACATTTTGTTGATGGGCTCCTTCTCAGCAACCCTGAAAGGGATGGGAGGGGCGGAAACAAGTCATGTCTGGCTGCCACGTGGAGCTCCAGACCTTGGCTAATACCGCTCCTGGGAGGATTCCCCAAAGGGATCACTAGCCCGCCCTCTCCTGAGGGTAGAGACCGCTCTGTGAGGAGGGGACTCAGCCAAGGGCCCAAGTTCCCAGCTATGTTTCAGAACATTCCACTGACAAATTCCCAGCTCCTGGGCCACCCCCTGAACTGATGGTAAACTGCGAGAGCGAGAAGGACCCACTCCAAATCTCCCTTGCCTCAGAGAGACTATTACAGGTCCAAGAACTTTCCCTGTAATAACTCATGCTTGTCACAAGCAAGCCTTTGGGTAGGTAACAGTTTCATCCCCACTGTAGAGATGAAGAAACTGGAGTACCGAGAGGCCAAATGACCTGCCCAAGGTGACCCAGCAGGTGGCAAAGCCAGGATCCGAACCCAGCAGGTCTGCCTCCAGAGCCCAGGCTCTTCCCCACCCTGTGTGCTCTCCACAATCAGCCCAGCCGTGGAGAGGGGCCCAGAGGAGGAGTCCCAGTGGGCGGGGGCCCAAGGCCAGAGGCTCTGCCTGCTGTGCTGTGGCAGGAACATCCCTCGTCCCAGATGGAGCCCAGGGGCTGTCCTCCCAAGCTTTTCCAGAAGGGTCTGCTGCTTGGGATCCCAGAGCTGCCTCCTGGGTCTTCCTCTGCTTCTCTTGCATCATCAGCCAGATGCTCTGTGGCTTATTTCCCGAGTGACAGCAGGCACTGCCATCTGGGGCTGGTGTCCAGCAGGTTTGGTACCACCCAACACATCAGAGACTGCGCCTCCCCCCAGTCCCAGGCAATGTTTCGGGGCTGAGACCCAGCCGCCCCAAGCAGCGCCTCTCACCCCAACTCCCACTGCACCGTCACCCCACCCTCCAGGCAGGAGCCGTGGATGTGCCTGCTGAGTGCCTTGGAAATGAGCAAACACTGCCATGCCAGGAGCTGTGCAGCTGGCCCTGCCCCTCACCACACACACACACACACATACACACACATACACACGCCAGGCGCCCAGATGTGGGAACAGACTGTGCCCGGTTCCCAGGGTGGAAAACCTAATGAATTTTCCTCCCCACTCCTCCTCTGTGTGTCCTCCCCACGGTGCTCGCCAAACTATTTGGGGATTGGTTGGGACCTTGGTTCCGGCCAAACCAGAGGGAAAATGTCTCATAATGGGAAAAACAGGACAGCAGCCCAGGCGTTTCCAGGTCTCTGCTGGCCCTCCAGAGCCTGGCCTGGCCTGGCCGAGCCGCCACTGGGGGCCTGAGGACTCAGAGCCCCTCATTGGGGGTGCCCTGGTCCTGGATGGCAAGTGGATTTAAGGGACGCCTGGGGACGTCTCCTCCCCACTCACACCTGGGACCAGTCCTGGGCTCCAAAGTGAGTGATGAGGTCACAGTCAGGGCTAGCTTCCGTTCCTAACTTAGGTGCAGGTGTTAACTTTAGCAGCTCTTGGTTTGACCAGACTATGGAAGGAGCAGAGCAGAAGGTGGGATGAACCATAGTTTAGAATCTGGGCGATGTGGACTCTTAAGGGCAGAGCTACTGGAAAACCCAAGCAAGTCCCCATCGAGCTGGGGACTCAGATTCCCTACCTGTTTGATGAGGTGTGGGTCAAGACCAGTGGGCTTCAGATTTTTTGGACTGTGACCCATAATAACACACAAGTTTTACACTATCACCCAGCACATGCAACAAGAGTAACTGAACAATATGCATGCTTGCCGTTTGCAGTGTACCCTGGGGCAGGCTCTCCTACTCTGTTTAAAAAATGCTAAGTGGCTGAGTGGCCCGCTGACTGGAAACTCTACCTACAGTCCTTGGCTCTAGCCCTGCCTCTCTACGCGTTCTATGGCCAATATTTGAGGTGGCCTCTGGGATCCAAATATTTCTTGAAACAGAGGAATGTGAATGCCAAGAATCTGAAGGGCAAACTCTCACCTGGCGGCAGGGGTCCAGCAGAGACCCGCACCCATGAGGAGGCGCCCAGGACGTGGGTTCCCAGGGCATGTGTCCTGCCTAGCTGGAGTCCATCCCCTCCCCACTCCCCCGGCGGATGGGGCAGGGCCCCTTCCCGTTACCTTTTCAAGTGTTCCAGCAGGAAGAGGAAGGTGATGAGGTTGGGGTCGGGCAGGGAGCGGAGCAGATGCATCATGCAGTTCTCCTTGGCAGCAGGGTCTGACAGGGCTGTAGGGACACAAGGGGCCGGGCTCTGGGCGGGGAGGCCTTGGCCAGCACTCTGGGGTCAGGAGGCTGCGGGACCCTGCAGGGGAAGCCTGGGCTGCAAGGGGTCAGGGGACAGACCCAGCAGGGACGGGGCTGGTATTTTCCGAAGGGTGAGCTATTAACAGGTTTCTGCAGGAGGCCCCACCCATGACCTAGAACCCAGCCAGGAGGTGGGAAGGTGGGGAGCAGACACCCTTCTTCCCTGCACTGTGTGGGCCTTTGGGGATGGAGCCACTCCATCCCTGGTCTGTAAGGATACAAGGATGCCACTGGCGTGAATGTTCTTTTTTTTTTGGCTGCGCCACTTGGCTTGCGGGATCTTGGTTCTCCAACCAGGAATGGAAACCAGGCCCTGGGCAGTGAGGGGCACAGAGTCCTAACCACTGGACCACTAGGGAATTAATTCCCTAACTGTTCTCTTTTTTAAGCACTTCTGATGCTGGAGCCTGGCAGCGGCCCGCCTTCCACGGGCTCCTCATTCCACTGACTGGCCCAGGAGAAGGCGAGGCAGGAGGGATGCGCCCAGGCCTGGATCTGGCCCAGGTTGGGGGGAGGCTGCAGTCCTGCCAGGCGGGGCCCTCAGTTTCCTCCCAACCCTGGGCATCAGTCAGAGAAGAGCACGCACTCCTTCTGGAAGACTCAGTACAAGCCACATCAAGTGCACTCCAGGCTCACTTCTCCTTGGTCCTGGACCCCGCACCCTCAGGGCAGATTTCCCTGGTCCTGGGGTTTCTAAACAAGGTCATCAGTGTCCAAGGAGGAAGCACAGAGGGCAGCCCCGAGGGACAAGAGGAGAGATGGGCAGGGGAAGAGTGGGCCCAGCCTCTGGATCGGGCCCCAGCAGGCCATGTGGGCCCAAGGCACAGGGCAGATGGACACGCCAGGTCGGGGGTGGGCGGGTGGGCACAGACATCTCATGCTCTCTGCTGATCGGGGAGGCCCGGCTCAGCCCAGCCCTTAGACCCCCGCTACCACTCACCGATGCCCTCCATGAAGGCGGGGTACAGTCGGTCTGTGAGGAGGGGCTCGGGCAGCTCCCGGAAGTAGAGCTTGAGGGTACCGGCGATGGCGTTGATGTCCATGTCGCTCAGCATCAGCAGGATGTCCTTGTTATCTGTGGGGGGGTGGGAGGGCAGGGGCTGTGCTGGCTGAGCCCCCTCCCCCCCCCCCATGCAGCCCTCAGCAGGGCAGGGAGCCCCGCTCTGTCCCCGCATCCATCCTGAGGCAGCCCGCTCTGGGCATGCACCCCCAGCCCACTCTGTCCCTGGTCTGGTCTCCCCAGCAAAGGCGGGATGTAGGTAGTGCCCACAGGTGGTCTGTGACTCAGCTCCGTGGGGGAGAAGGGGAGGGAAGCACAGTTCGTCATCCAGAGTCCTGGAGCCACATTCACACGTGTCACATGCCCTCCTTCCAACTGCAGTCTCCCCACCGCTAAGCCCCTCTCTGGAAGGCACTGTGCATTTTTATACCTAAAATCATGTTCTGACAAAGCCTCAGCTTCCAGGTGGCATAGAGGAGCCATGTGCCAGCCTGTCCCCAGCTCCCCCCATCCCCAGGTTCCCGGAACACGTCTGCTTGGCAGCTGCCTGGGGACACCCACCAGGCCCCTCTCAGCTCCCATAGGATCAGCATTGCCCAGCCAGTTCAGGGGTCCTGCTAGCAATGTTGTTGCTGCAGCCTGAACGGCGAGATGGGGTTAAGAACCAGAAAGGTCAGGCCCTGACCAAGGGGCTCAGTCAAAGTGAGAGGCAGCAGCGCCCCTCCCAAAGGGTGCCCGGAGAAGGCGGGGGTGCGGGAGCCAGCCGGGCTCAAAGCTCTTTAGTTTCCCTGCAGCCTGGGAGGCCAGCAAGAAAGCCAGGAACACAGACTCTGGAGTCAGCAAGATCCGAGTTTAAATCAGGCTCAAAGCTTATGAACTGAGTAATCCTGGGCAAAGTCCTTGGCCTCTCTTGAGGCTCTGCTTCCTTATCTGTAGCAACAGAGGCAAGACTGGAGGGCAACGGATTACATGAGAAAATGCAGGGCAGGCCCGTGTCACAAGGACTCAGCAATGGTCCACCCCATGCCATGCCGGGCCGGAGCGCACAGTCCAAGGCTCCTCTGCCACCGGCAGGTCAGGGCCTTTCCATGGAGAAGCCTCCTGCTTCTGCTAAGCTCTCCCACCAGCCCGAGGAGCCTGCTGGAGCGCCCGTCCCCACAGCCGCCCGGCTGGGCCTCCCAGACTCACTGGCATCGAAGACGGCCTTCAGCGCCTGGATGTCTGTGGCCACCCCTGATATCCGGTAGATGCCAACCTCCTCGATGCCCCGCTTCTCCACTTCCTCCACACACTGCCGCACGATGTAGGGCACCTTGGAGCGCTCCCGCCTGGGGTTGGGGTAGGGGATGTGAGGGGAGGGAGGGGAAGAGGGCCCCCAGTGATCCCTACATGTAGCCCCTCCCTCTCTGCAAACCGTGGCCTTGCAGCATTTTGGCCTCTGGGATCAGGAGATGGGGGACAAGGACAGGGCTGAGAAAGAGGCCATGCTACCCCACCCCCCAACACACAGCCCACCCCAGGCCTGGGTGTTGAGGGGCCGCAGGGGACAAAGGCGGGAAGTTTTAGGAGATCAAAGACTGAAGTAAGACCATTCCTCAGAACAGAGGGCTCACATTTAAATGCTACGGGGGACCCAGTGGGTCACCTACAGAGCAGGGTGGGCCAGACCCTGGAGACAAGAGGAGGGGAGGGGGCTGAAGGATGCCTTTTCCTGGGGGCAGCCACTTCTGGATTCCAGCCGGCCACTGCCACACCAAGACATAGACATACAGCTGTCACATCTCCCCATTTATTACAGGATGCTGAGGATCTGGGATTTTCACGTGTAATCTCCCAGTGGTTAAGTGCTGGCTCATTTATTTCTAAAGCATTGTGTGAGGCAGGGAACACCCCTCTGCCGCCACTTTTGCCCATCCGAGTGGCCGCTGTGACTAATGAAGTGGAGGGTGATTGCTGGGGTGACAGACATAGAGTGGGGGCCCTGGAGGGCGGGGCTGGCAGGGACCCCAGACGTAGTACCTACTTGGTCACCACACTGATCTTCACACCGAAGACGCCGCTCTGCTTTTTGGAGGGGGTCCTCTTCAGGCTCATGTCTCGGCTGGTGAATTTCATGGAGAATTCCACTTTGATCTGCTTGGGGGCAAGGCAGGCACAACCCCCCAGGGCGTGAGTGCCCAAGGAGTGCCCCCCAAAACAGAGGGGGCACACCAGGACTGCACCCGGGGGGCTCCCTGAAGCACAGGGTGGGAATGGGAAGGGTGCAGGCAGAGGAGAGGGGGGAGGGGCTGGATGAAGGGAGCAGGGGGTGGGTGGGTTGGAGGGACAGCGCCCCAGGGCACCAGCCAGAGGCCAGGCTGCCCACCCACTGCGCAGACACTTCTGTCGCTCCCGGCTCACCCCATTCATCTCAATCACATCCGTGTGCCAGTTCTTGGTTTCTACAGTCTGTGGATCCAGCTGCAGAGAAAGAAAGAAAGAGAAGGTGAGAGAAAGAGGTGACAGCAGAGACCAAACCAGAGCTCCCCCCGCTGCTCAGGCTCAGACGCTGGTCAAAGTTCAGGAAGACGGAGCTGGGGGCTGATGCTCATCTTGACATCAGTCCTTCAGGACCTCCACGCCCCAGGTCCTTCCTGCCCCGTTAGTGAAGGGTGCCCCCCCCTCTGGGAGGGAGGTGGGGTGCGCTCTGAAGACACGTTCGTCCATCACCTCTCATTCACTCCTGACCCTGCCCTGTGACAGGCGTACTAGGACCCCATTTCACGGATGCACAAACTAAGACTCACACTCTCTCAGCAACTTGCTCAACTGCCTGAATTGGAGTCAGGTACACTGCGGGCGCAGCCCATGTACCTGGTCGTGAACAGGAGGCGGTGCCACGCAGAAGTCAAGAAGAGCCCTGGGTCAGAATCCCAGCTCAGCCACTTCTGGCCTGGTGACCTTGGGAAGTTTCTAACCTTGCTAAACCTCATTTGTTCAGTCTGTTCATTGCCAGTAAAGACCCTGCCTTGCTGGATTGTTGTGAAGACTCATTGAGATAACAGGTAAGTGGCTGGTCTCCCAGGAAGCAAACACACTGTAGAGGGGGCCCCCAAACTGTGCAGGAGCCCCAGGGAGGTGGAGATGGCAGGGGAGGCCCAGAGGTATCCCTCACAGGTGACCAAACAGGGCTCGTTCCTCGGGCTCAGGGGCCTTCGAACTGTTTTTCCTTGTGCATCCATAAAGTGACTTGGAAAAACAATGTACACCCTAGCACATTTTTAAGTCAACATCTGAATATTTCCAAATCAAGTTTAAATAGCTGCAAAGAACATAATTTCCAGAATAATGTAAATATTTACATCTTGAAACAAAACTGTTATACCATTCTCTTAAACGTATTCAGTGGAATCCAAATTCCATAGTGATTTGATACCCACCATCAACCATTTAAAAAACACATAAACAAGTTCTTCTTTCCCTTGTAGAAACCTGTAACATTCCTTTTTTCTCCTTGATTTTGTGTTTCTAGACTATTTCACCCAAAGAATTATGCCCTCATTTGTGGTTTTTTTTTTTAAAGTCTTTTATTCTTCACCCTATTCTATTTTGCTTCAACAAAAACATCTGTGTAAATAGAAATGAAAAATTTCCTGAGACCACAAGGCTCCAAATGTTCAAAACATATTCTGGATTCACTATTACAATGATTAGCAGTATGTAATAAAAAATTTAACCAACATATTAAAAATTTTAATAAACATTCAGCAGCAAAGTACCATTTTGGTGGAACTACATCTCTTAATGAGATTGGGTAGAGTGCTTTGTCTGTTTTAGTTCATGTATGTACATGAATATTATTTTTTGCTAGGGTGAAATGGGGTTTCAGCATCATTACTTTTATTTTTTTTGGTTTGGTTTTTAAAGATGTAAAAGATGAAACATCTGCTCACATAAAGCAGATGGGGCTCAAAATAGTTTTTTGGGGTTTTTTTGGCGTCATTGTACAGCATGTAGGATCCTAGTTCCCGGACCAGGGATTGAGCCCACACCTCCTGCAGTGGAAGCATGGAGACTTAATTCCTGGACCACCAGGGAAGTCCTTTTTATCTTTCCTTTTGTTTTTGAAAATAGTTTTATTATAGCAATGTTTGCATTTCTTTAACCTCTTTCCTCGGTATTTGCTTTAAATTGCATATCATCAATATTTATTTTAAATGGTCTCTCAGCTGACAATTCTGCCACTTTTGTGGAAACAAAAAACTGGAAACCATGTGATTTGTGAAACCCAGGCTTTTGAGTCTTTTACTTTCTCAACTCCCACATCAACATTTTAAGGGGCCCCCCTGTTGCCAACCAGGGGCCCTGGGAGCCCTGTGCAGGGTTCTCCAGGCGGCTCGGCTCCTCTGCAGAGCAAGGGGTGGGGTAAGGCCATTCTCTGGTGAGTCGCTTTCTGGGCAGCAGCACTTATGGGAGCTGAGGACCTGCAAGCTGCTTCTCTCAGAATGCTCCTGCCCTCCCACCCCTGGACGACTCCCACCCCCAGGGCCTGTTCTAACAGGCCCCTCACTAGAGTCTGGGTCCGCCCAGCGCGAGCTGGGCCCTGGGGCTTCTAACAGGTATAGAGGTATTGGTAAGTCTTCTCCCCATCTTCTATCATCAGACACCCGCTGGGGACAGGGGGCACCTACGCCTCCAATAGGGTCTGGGGCTCTGCATCTGAGCCCAGGCCCTGCCTCTGGCTGGCAGTCCCCTGCCTGGAGAAGGGAGGAAACGGAGAACAGGGCAGAGGGAGAGTCATGTGGAGAGGACCGAGCATCTCCTCAAACATAAAGAGGAAGAGTGCGGGGCTCACCGGATGGCTGCTGCCCCAGCCCTCTATTCTGGAAGGTTCGGGGCCAAGTCCTCCCGGGCCCCTGAAACCTCCCTCCCCTAACCTTTATGTCCCAAGGCCTGTGGCACGGGCTGCCCCTGACAGCTTCTTTATCGCCTCCAGAATGCCAGGTCTTGGACACAGAGCCTCAGGGCGTCCCCAGCCCTGTGCTCCAGCAGTGGCCACCTGGAGTAGAGAGATCTCCGTTGCCCTCTGTCGGCGGAGGCAGCTGCTGCCCTTGGGACACACACTCTGGAACGACCACCCCCTTCTCATGTAGGTCTCCCTTGGAATCAGTGTAAACCTCAGGTCAATCCCATGGTCCTGGCCCCTAGGGCCCCTCCCCTGCCCTAGCTCCCCCTGGGTTGGTCCTGAAGCGGCATGTGGACAACAGCCCAGGCTGGGAAAGTGCAAGGACTGAGAATCAGACCGATCTGGGTCCAAATGTCCACTCTTCTACTCAACTGTGTGAATCTGGGCAGGTCACTTAACCTCCTGGAACCTGTTTCCCCATGGTAGGGGGGGGATCCACACCTGCCTCAGTGTCGCTATGGGAAACAGGAACATTGACCAGACATGTAAGCATTTCCTGTAAGTCTGGCTCCAGGACAAACCCCTTACCTACAGCATCTCAATCAATCATCATAACGTAGCCCATGAGGCGTAAGTCCTCCTAGCTGTTTCCATTCGACAGATGAGAACACTGAGGCTTAAAAAGAATCAGGAGTTTGCCCACTGCCACATGTCTAGGAAGTGACAGCTGGGGCGCAAATTCAAGTCTCCCTGACTCGGCTTGGCTAGACCTGCAAGATCTCATGTACAGCACCCAGCCTGGCGCCCTCGCCTCTGGCAGCAAGGCAGCTGCTGTGATCAGTGTTTATCTGGAAGAGAGACATGAGGCTTCCACCATCTGGCACCACAGGCTGACCTGGGTGCTGGCAGGTCGTCTCCAGGGCGATTCTTTCATTTCTTCCCTCCCCCTCGCTTCTGTTCCAAATGCCAAGTAGCAACCGAACGTGTTCCTGGAGGCATCTGAGACAGGACCTTCGCAAGCCTGATGCAAAGGTTCAGTCCAAGCCCTGTTTCTTCCAGAGAGCCTTCCCAGATTAACTCCAGGCCTCAGGGATGCTCACTTCCCCTCTGCTGCTCTGCCAGACTACCACCCTGTCCCCTGCACCGTTTGCTGTTGTTGTAGTCTGTCCCAGGCCAGGTCTGGATAAGGTAGTACCGGTCATGTTTTACCGTGAGTCCCATCATCATCCTATTCCCGACTTTCCTCTGAAGGTGTGGCCCTGGCACCCGCGGCAGGGAGGCCAACCCAGCCCCTCCGCGCCCCGACAATGCAGCCCTGTCTCCTGGGAGGCCAGCAGAACTCCAGAAATCAAGTCTATTTCAGGATGTCATTTAAATACAGAGGAGGGAGGGTGCGGAGTAGAGACGGACATGGCACATTTTCCAGAGAAATGATGCTGTCTGAACTGCTGTGGTTATTTATAACCCCTGGGAAAAGTGGACTTTGCTATTTCCTGATTAGATTAGTGCTGGGGGTGGAGGAGCCAGCCTCCTGGATGTCAGCGGGTAGGAACACCTGATGGTTCACCATCCAGTCCCAGTAGATAGGTGCCGTCCCCACACCTGGGGACCAGGTATCAGGGAGACACCAGATTACCTGTGGGAGGAGGACAGGTGGGGCTGTGAAGATCCCCCATCAAAGAGTGCCTCCTTCACCACATAGGTCACAAAAATGCCATGGGCCCACCCCCAAGGAGCATAGGCAGGAGACAGAAGCAGGTCCTAGAACATCCTGGAGAATGTTCGTTACCAATGGGTGGCTGAACACAGCCTCTGGGAGCGGCTCAACTGTGTCCTTTTTGCCTTTGCCTTTAGACCTGGTGAGGTCTTGGCTGCATGTTCAGACCTCTCCCAAGGAGAACCTGCTGCCCTCTGGGACTGATGTCCCCGAAAGAACCGCCATCCCCCAAGGGAATCCCGCATCCGAGGCAAGGCGTCCGCAGTCTCCCAGAGAACCTGGCAGGTGGCTGGGAGTCCGCCTTCCCCTCTCTTGGCCTCAGCAGCCTTACATTCAGGACAGGAAATGGGCTCCGCAGCCTGGCAGGGGGCTCAGGGGAGGCCGCCCTGCAGGCACCTAAACCCCTCCGGGTGGTGGGTGCCACCTTCATTTCATAAATGCCTTCGGGGTCCCCTCTGAGAGGTCTAAGCCTTTCCTCCCGCCCGTTTCTCCCCAGCCTGGGACAGAAGATCCCCAAAGTCCTCCCTCTCTCTGGTTAGAGGGCTGTTCACGGCCATCTCCCAGTACTTGGGAGGCATCAGTGAATTTGGGGGCCCCCTTCCTGCTCCCTCGAGTCAGAGTCCTTCTGACAGTGGGCACTGTCCGCCCACCATCCCACACTCCCTCCACCACGCAGCTTGCTCAACCGTTTTCCGGTGATTTCTGCTGCCGCCCCTTCCCCGGCTCCCATCCCGGGCCTCACGTGGCCACCTTTAATCCACGAGGAGGCGGTGGCGGGCGGTGAGCCATCAGAGCTGGCAGCTGCAATTCCAGGAGAAGGGGGCGCAGAGCAGCGGTGGTTACTTTGGCAGCTTACGC